TATGCTGTGACATACAACATAGAATGTCTGGATTTACAGGCAAATGTGTATACGTCCTCTGCCGACGTGTTTGTTGCGATAGATTGCACAAGTAGTCTTTGGAAGACTCCACGACAGACATACAGATGATCGAATAGAAATTTCAAGGATCCTTTCTTTAACACGGGCGTCATCCTGACAGGCATACAAAGGTCTGGAATAATTCCGCCATGTATATACGGTTAGATTAACCATCTGACTCCCCCTTTCGGTTCTTGCGGTTTCGGCTGACATTCGTTAATTTTTAACATTTTAGCCCCGTCTGCTGTCGTCGTGATTGCTCGGACGTACTTTTGAGCTCCCTTTAGCACCACCCCAGTTGTAGCATCTCAATCCTGCCCACCCTGATGACCAACAGGTCACTGACCTTGTTTCGCAGCAACATGTTGCAGCGACATGCAAACCGATTCGTTAGCTAGTCACTCACGCGCGATGCTACTTTTCCTGTCCTGTGCGCATATCCCCGAATCACAACCGTTTGATATGTTTTGTTATACTACTTAAGTAGTTACAAAAATACTACATTATGTGACTTGCCAACTGCTTTCATCGGCACGCGTTAGATCAAATATTTGGTGTAACGGCGGTCCGAATATTTTTTGCACGCTATCAAATCGTAATTTGCACGTTAACATTGAATTCATGACATTTTCCTCTTCGGGGTCCTGATTCATTCCCAGTTGTCTCGCACCCCATTATCAAGCCCGCGGCTGCGATTGGAAGTGAATGACGCGTGAGGCTCGCGTGAGTCTTGCGTCTACTTCGCTTGTTCATTTGACCAACCACTGTCTCGCCCTGGGACATCAGCCTAGGTTATTAGGCAAGCGCGTCCTGTTCGCTCTCTGTTTTCGGGTCACTCCGAATCCTCCTCGTCTACAACCATGCTTCATCTTGTCCATTCCAGGCCGAATAAATTTAACTTGTGCATATGACCCGTTCATTTGCAGTCTACTAGTCTCGCGACGATTCCGATCACCTAACCAACTCACAGTTTTTGGTTTGACGTCCAACACACTCATTGTTCAATCTTCTAACTCCTCATTCATTTATCTCGTAATAGGCCTGTAACCGACTGGGAATTCATGCTTTCCGAAGGCTTTTGAATACAAATGGGTTTTTGTACGTTTTTTATTGTGACAAGAAATAACATGAATCATTGATTCAATAAGAGCCTGAGCCAATTGTGTGCAGATTCACCTGGCCTGAGGAAGCTCTTGTGTCAAGAGCGAAACGTTGCCACAATTAAAAACATACGAAAACCGAATTGTATTCAAAAGTCTTCTGAAATCCTTATTTAATTCTTCCGTTCATGCGGTGTTTTCGACTATGTTCTCCATCTATTGCATCTCCTATAAGAAGCTCGATGCATCGTACCCCATTCACGAATGAACGCTTGTAGTTTTCCAGCTGTTTTTTCGTTTATCAAATGCCACTTGCTGTCCTATAACATGCTAAGCAATATCATACATGTCATGTGACACAGGCATAGTTTGCCATTTGCTTGCATCAAACCACATTCTAGTAATCATCACTGGTTACCTTATCGCGATCCATAACCGCTGGGTCTTCATCCTTCCACTCAGTACCCCTAAATCAACGTTTATTCACTGAAGGTATTCCTAATTTCTTTCGTTTCTGTTCCTGTACGCAACACTTGCACTGCAGAATATTTGAACAGCATTAAAACCTAGTTGTCCGGTTTTTTGCCTCACCTAAAACTAATTAAAAATACTTTTCTGGAATGTATACCAGTATGGTCTACTTATAATCAGATAGTCTTGAAAGCTGGACTGTCCAATCTTTTCTTACATGGACGAATAATTTTGATCCACAAAATTATTCTTTGTGTTGATTGTCATGTCATATCTTAACATAGTTAACGAACTGTGTTGATCGTTGCTTATCATTTATGCATATTAGAGTATGTTTGCATTCGTATCCTGGGAACCAAGCTAGCAGCATATCCCAAAATTAAAGGCTAACAAGCTACTGTTATAAGTCTTCTTTTGTTATTACTTACTGTGAAATGTTTTGAAACATTCTTGTCGCTTGAGCGACAAAAAACTGGTTGCACTTAGTGCACGTGGACTTGCTGCGTTCTTCGTAACCCTCAAGCTTGCAGCGCTGTCTTAATTTTCTGATACAAACGGAAAAATAGCCAAGTCTATCATATCTTCAGCAACTTGTCTCGTTACAAGCCTTGCACGCCTTTTAGGGTGGAAGTAAGAACATTGGCAGCTATTGTTGAGGCATCACAAGAATCTATGACTGGTGGTGTGGATGTGCTTCATTTTTGCCCAGGTCCACATGGATTTGGTGTGATGAACCGCCACACTTTCAAAATGTGTTAGTAACCCCCCCCCCACTTCTGAAACAGAGGAGATCCAAGACTTGTTTTCTTGGTGTGCCACTCACAATTTCATTGTCTCTTTACTTCAGCTATGTATTTGCAAAGGCAAATTGAAAGATATTTCTTATGGACCATTTCTTTGTGTTGGCCTTGGTTATGTACAGAGAAATAAGATAATCAAACTTATCTACGTCTCATATTTTCATTGTCCACTTTGACTCATTCTGGTCCGGTCCCTCGAATAAATTCCCTTCTGCTGCCACTACACCGACGTGTACTATCCATCTGTGCAATGCCCATAAAGCTGGATGCGAGCGAAACAGCACCGTCCTCCATCCACTTGGTCACACTGATATCTCCTTCGGATGATACTTTGCAGCCCAGTGTCCCCAAACATCCTTACGAAGATCTTCTTCAAGCTTCAGCTGATATCCCACTAAAGTGTTTCTTTTCACAACACTTAAAGACTGGATACCTTTCTTAGTTGGAATCGCTCCATTGAAATGGTTGTCAAAACAAAGTTTTTAATTCTTCTTTCAAAGGACGCTGACGGTCTCAAAACAATTGACGCACCCTAGACCCAGACGCTTTTTTGGGCAGCGACGCCTGTTCCTGCACCTTTGAGGTCGATGGCTCTTTTTGACTTGCCACTTATGACAAAGTGCTTTAGTTTGGTTTGCTTTGCTTTTAATGAATTACTTGCAACTAGATCTAACTCTTCTCGCTTTAGCTCCAAACAAAAGCACGCACCGTTATGCCGATGCGCTCAACTTTCCAGAATTTATTTGTTCCTTAAGATGGATTTTACCCGGCGTTGATGTGAATGGTATTTCGTATTGTCAGGTATGGACTCATCGGTATGATATCTACCACTACATTGACTTTTGTGGACCTTTGTCAATACATGCGACTCCTTCGAAAATCAACCTTGGCGATCACAATTGAAATACAAAAGTCTTTTACTAAATAGCTGTTGTACCAACAATTTCCGGTTTTAATCATATTATAGCTATTAGTTTGGTCTACAAACTTGTCGACAACTTAAAACATAAAATTCCTTTTAGAATTCTAAATAATAAAATTAAAAGACGTACGTTGAACACTTCAGCAGTGGTCTTGTGGAGACGAGCAAGCGTAGCTCTGCTGCAGTGTATGCCTTTTTCATTGTGGCGCCCACCACTCTGTGTGACAGGGACACTAAGCACCAATCAGAAAACATTTGACCACTAATTGATTTCAAGTGACATTATTTTGAATCCCTTGGTTGTTGTATGTATATGACCGACGTGTATGCACAAAACGACAGTGGTATCCCACAACCTTCGTCCTCTGATATCCTTATTTGTCAAAAAGCGTTCCGTAATATTGTAACAACCATTTTGAATTTGAAGGGAAGCCAACGCCTAAACCGAAATCCTTCTGCCAATTTATTGTCTGGATAAAACCATTCTCTTTTAGATCGCCATTTGATGCTAGCCTTCGTTAACTTCAAACTAGCTGTGCCTTCCTTTTAGCTAACCTAACTGCTGCATTGTTCCTGATTTTATTTTTCACCTTCGTCAGTTATATCACTGGTATCACTCTCAATACAAGTCACATCAGGTCCGGCGTGATAACAAATATCCCATTCTCAGAATCATCAGAACTGCATACTTCTAAATCGCAGTCATCCAAACGTCCAACACATCATCCATAGTCAAACGTCTTCCTGTTGTCTAAATTATAATTAATTGATGCCCTAATCTATTTATTTTTGTAATTTTATCTCCTAAACTAGTTGCTGTATTGGTGAACAATAAACGAAATAATGCAATGGGTTATTAATTAGCAGAAATGCACCCAAAACCATGAACAACTTCGATATACTACACCTTATTATCATGCATAGATATTTGTGCTTTTAATCTAATGGGTTGTCGTATGAACATTTACGTACATCACTTTCTAAAAATCGTATCCACCAAGTACTATTCCTCGGACTAATAGCGTACCCCAAGATTAAGGATGTACTTTAATAATTATGTGCAATAAGCGTTTTTACTTAAACATTTATAATGTATGCAAGGCATGCAAAGAAATACCAAGTGGTATCTTTCTTTTCTCAGACCCCATTTTGAATCCAAAATACTAGGGGTAGATATAGAAACAAAACGATGTGTTTTTAAGATTCATCATTGTGCTCGTTTGTACTAAAAATAAATGAAAACTTTTCGAGTCCATATTTATAATGAAAACAAATTCTGTATGCGTGTGTACATTTACACACATTGTGTACGAAATGGTTAGACTGGCTAAAGCTTGATTGTTGGATCCTTGATTGATTTAGACACTAGTTGTAATAATGATCAAACTCTCATATCTGTATTTAGTCTATGTTTTGAACCTTCACCTTTTTTTGCTCCATGGTTACTGATGCTATTTTCCTCTTCAATTTTTCGGCGTTCTTCATCCTTTTCTAGGAACAAAGGATTTATTTTCTAGTGGTACCCTGTCAAACCTACATTGAATACCATCTCCATTATACTTGGGAGAAAGTTACTCCTTAGAGTCATCATCATGCTCGTTTTGCTTTGTGTTGCACTCGGCTGTATTCACTCCACTTCTATTTTAGTATATGGTGATGTGGAAAACGCCATCAACAACTTCCGCGATCTGCTATGCACACAGTTGACCACGATGCCTATCGAGTGCGACGAGGCGAAACGAAAAGTCGGGTAACTATATGCCACTCACCTACTAGATCGCTGTTGCAGTTTTCTGTACACGGAGTCTCCTCCATCTCAATCACCGCTAATTCTGCTTCCCTCTCTTCCGATCTTCCGTTTTTTTAGCTACCTGCTCCAACTCGAAGTCGATTTTGACCCAACTTGGTTATGTTTGTGCCGATTCAAAGAATGGCTCATCGAACAATTACGCATGTACCAACAAAGCTACCGCCAGGTTACCAACCCGAAGCCTGGGTTGGGCGATCTGTCTTTGTCCACAATTGGAAGCGACCAGCATGCCTGCAAATCCAGTTCGAAACATTGGTTTGATACTCGTCAGTCTCTCTGTTCTGTCTAATCTTTCCATGACCTGGTATCCCGCGGTACATAATTTACACAGCAGATAGTTGTTGTTGGCTACCCTTGGAAATACCAGTTTCTGGTTACATATTGTAAGCTTTCATCATTAAACAGTCACTTGCCAAGGAAAATGCTAGTTCAGACCGCCTAACACCCGTTATGTGTTCAGGTAAACGAAATCCCCGCTTACTCATATTCTGCATTAATTTTAAAGGGCTCACATTTTCTACGCAAGTTTATACCTATGCATCTTGTATCCTTACTCATTTCACACTCATTGTTACGACTGCTGGCTCTTTTTCGACAAATCGTCTACCGCGTAACATGCTCAGGCCGCAGCTCAAATGTCTGATTCTCGTTTACAGCCACGCGTCCGTGTCGGTTTCTATTCACAAAGTTTTGGACAGACTATTCGTTGAGCTTCGTATGTTCACACCTTTATCGTTTTGAATTTTTCCCGTTCTCTATTCGGTTTGACGTGCTTTCAAGCATGACGAGCAACAGGGTTAACGCAAAATGCGGGCGGTTCTCCCCGCATATTTCCTGCGGGAACTATTTACAGCGGTCAATTCAATCATTGTTATCCTAATTGAATTAAACCGCATACCCATATGTAATATTCAAAGTTTACCTATTGATCCTTTTTGGCTGCTCTTTTTAATGCAACTTGTGCGATAGACTGAACCCTCATCTTGTTAACGAGCACAATTAACTTGCTGGTACTTTGCTATTCGTGAGACAATGTGTTTTTTTCACTTTGAGTGCACTATTTTCCGTCTGTGCCTGCAGAGGCTCTCTGTTGAGGCAAATCAAAATTGGCTTTATACACTTAAATAGCATTTACACTATCACTGTAAGCATACTAAGTGAATGGGATCAGTTAAAGTTGTATAAACACAGATTGAAGAATTAAATAATCAAGGCATATGGATGTCATTCAAGTAACCGCATACGCAAAGCATTTGTGACTTGGTAGGATCGACAAGAAAGTGTGACAAATAAGGCAGGGTTGTGCTACGGTCCGAAGAAGTGCGAGAGAATAAAATCCTAAATTTTAAGCCTGTGTGAGAGACAGATAACGTTTGTGAGAGAGCATCATGTCACGGATGAGTGTGGTCACTTAGGACCTTAGAAGAAGAATTTATGCAAGCGTCAAAATGCTTACGGGCAATAAAGCCAATTATACAATCTCTAGGCAAGACATCACATCTGGAAATATGTTTAATCGATCGCACAATCAAGACATAGTCCTTCTACCATGGCCCACGAAAGATTACTGAGGTACAGTACAGTCGGTGGAGTAATATTCATGCAGTTACAAATCTCCAAATTAAGTTTCGCGGTACGGAGAGCTTCTTAACTCGGAAAACCTAAAAAGAGATAACCTTCTGACCTTGTGGAAGGTCTCAACAATGTGCATGAACCAAGAGAAGTTTTGGGAAAGATAGACACCGAGATATTTGACAGTGGATGAAATAGGAATGGTTTTCTCCTCCAAAGTAACTAGAGAAGAGGAATCTAAAATTGCTCGCAATCTATCAGGGCGGTGAAATAAAAATGTTACATCAGTACATTTCGAAGCATTAAGTTTAGGGGACCTGGTTGAGGACCAACTCGGAAGTTCGTCTAAACCACATTGAAGCGTAGATGTCTCAATGGGGGGAGATCTGCATCCCAAGACAACATCGTCAGGATATTTACATCCAATGAATGTTGTTGGTATGGGAAGACATGCAACATATAAAGAGAATGAAAGGAACTTTATCCGGGTTACTGTCCCCAATCGAGATATTAGCGAGGCGTATCGGTTGTCTCTATCGGGCTAGCCATTGACCACACATCACAAGGATGCCTGTCCGTTATCCCGTATGCCATGTGTATTAGCCTTAAAGTGCACAAAAATCCTCACTTCTCCTTATCATTCCACATGTATAGGGCCCCGTCCCTGTGGACCCCTTCTTTCTCTCCGGGTTACGCCTCATCCCGTTAACATTGTATTCGTTACTATCATCTTTCGCCATGATGAACTTTTTGAGTGCGGCACTCGACATCATATTCATTAACCGAAGCACAAATAAGTAAATAAGTGATGTATTGCGAGACACAGATCGATTACGTGGCCGGATCATTTTGTACAACTTAATCAAATAGTGGAGAAAGTTGTTCGACTTTTACAATGGTCCCAATAGAGTGTTTGGGCTGTTGCAGCACTTAAAACTATCTAAGATGGAGAGTTTGAGAGTAAGAATTAGTGTAAGTATAGCCGGCAGTTCCAGTGAAGTCATACGACCATCCATGGAACCGTCCCCTGGGGACTTGCTTCCATGTGGGGAGTAATCCCTCGAAATCTTTCATCCGCACTTCCACGCCTCAGTTGGCTATATGCAAATGTTACTTACAACAAGTAAATCGTCATCATTTTGACTTCTTTTTTGTTTGGGCTGCTGTTCTATGCAGTTGGACCGTAATCAAGTTGGTGTTTTTTTCATGCCCCATGTTATATACAATTATGTCTTCGTCACGTTGACTCATCTTTGGGGTCGCTGTTACATGCTAGACACTCCCGCCTTACAGCTCATTCCACAATTCAGCTGCTTCGAGTCCAGCACTTTTCTATTCGCCACTGAGTATGTGGCAATTCATCTTACTTGGGTGTACCAGTTAGCTTTGAGGTTTCAATCCGTCACCTCAGGAGATCGGCTTAATCCTGGTCAACAATGGTAAAAGAGAAAAATATGAATTGAAATAGAATGACGGAACAGTAACCATAGATGAGTGACTCATGTCTGACGGTCATCTGATTCATACTACACATAAAGATCATAGAAAACAGATTACCTCCCGAAGACAGAAACAGAGGCCTCAACGAAATATTGGCATAGCTTCGGCAGCTGAAGGCGATCGAAAAGGTGAGAGTGATGACGCAGACACAATTGCTAGGGTGCCAAGAACTGTTGCAGGTACCCAACTTGTTGCTTCCAGGCAAGAAGAGAAAGCGGTTGGCAGGGTAGAGCCAGTGTAAGAAGTAGAGATAAAAGCTTTAGGATAAATTTCCATATTGGTCAGATTGGACGTGGGGTTACGCGGATGTTACTGCCGCTGATCAAGATGCACGTTCATCTAAAAGTGTAACCAATTGATTGTGGCCGTGACAAACGATAGAACGGGAATTTTGAATGCAAGACTTGGTATGACTGGGTGACAAATACGTTGCGTGTTCTTTTTAAAGTCTTTCCTCGTCCTTGATAATATAGCTCATTGATCGTTCTCTGTGGTTCAAACAGTTTACCTGCATTCGGTAATAGGATAAATTTAGTTAACTCAGTTTTCAACTGGCCATTAGTTTGACTTGCTCTTACTGAGTGTCACAGTCGGTTCCATACAATGGAGTATCGAACAACGAAAGATTTCGCGCGAATTTCTGACGTAAACTTTCGTTGGAGAAGAATAAATTTTCTGGTCCTTTAGATGTAGTCATTATCCTCCTTAAACATCAACTGGATACTTGAGCTAAGGCTGGGATGGTGTATCACTTTGTAAGAACAAACTAATTTCATCTTTAGTCTTTGTAGCCATAGAGGATCGATACTCAGTAGTTTACATCTATCTAGATATGTCGAGGGACAGCCTATGGGATCATTCATTGACGCCTCTTCTTTGATTCATCGGTTCTCGTACATTAGCTTCTTCTGCCCAAATCTATTCTTTCATACTCAAATCCTTAATTGCATGAGCTCTACAAGTAACAGGACCCCCCCCCGCTTCAAAGGTAATATTAACCAATAACTTGCATATAAACCCAGTTCGATACTGCATCTAACACTCCAAATGGCGCCATGTTCACTACTTGTCTTCTGATTAGATCCACAACCGGCGCTGCTTCTCACAGTTGTTCTGGGCATGTTTCTCTATCCGATATCACCAATGAGAGTTAAGCCCTATTCTCTTGACCGATGGCTCGTGCTACAGCTGCATTTCAACGATCTGACTGCGCATTATTCGTCATTGATGTGTTCCTTTACTTAATGATTGATTCGTGGCTTCACTTCCATCGCGACGAGACTAGACCTTAACGTGGTGCGATGGTTTATGTGCCTCAATGATCTATTGAGCTATGCTGCGTGATGCTTTTTGCACCTTCAGAACCAATCATACCTGATTGGTCACTGGTTAGAGGCAAGACAAACTCAGTCTCCTGGCCCTCCAGTTTTGGGGTGGAAGTGGGGGTGGCTCCTTACACAATAAAACACTCTGTAGCCTAATGTCAAAACCCCGCTGCCTTGCGGCCAGGTTTCTGAACCAAAGGCCTTGGTTGAGAACCCTAATCATTCTCCTGTGTAGGCCTGGGCAACCTGACAATATCATTCCCACGAAATACAACACAATGACCTTCTCTTCAAACCATTTTATAATGCTCTGGCTGCCGCATAGGCTAATCAACGGCGCCCTATCTGTTGCATCGAGCAGGATGAATAGGGGTTTGGATGCCACTACTCAGGCCTTCCCATCTTCTGATTCCCTCTCTTGCGCTTTTTCGTCCTTATAGTCCCGCTCCAATTTCACTTTTATCTTCCCTGTTTTCAACTTGCTGATTTTTGGCCCTCCCCCCTATTGTTTCAGTTGTCGCTGGTCTTCTAGTCACGACTCACACGGAACCGCAGGACCTCGTTCTAGTCCAGTCGGCAAGTACATGTTCAACCAAGCGAACAACTTTAGATCATCCGTTTCTCTTTACAGCCCTCTATCCTCCTTATGACTGGCATGCCTCAGCGTGCGTACTTTGTTGCAGATTGGCCAACAGGCAGCACTTACCCTAACACTAGAGACCCTAACGATCAACATCTGCTGTCTATCGGAAACCCGACTTCAAGATGCGAGTTCTCTGATTACCCTACGATTTCCCACAGGCGACACTGGCGGTACATTCTCATTGTGTCTGTCTGGCGATGAAGGAGCTTCAAATACCGATCAAGTC